TAATAATAATAATAATAATAATAATAATAATAATAATAATAATAATAATGTGAGTCTAAATGCTGCGACTTTAATGATACCTGAGGTGCAATTAAAATCCATGGAGATTCAGAATTCAATTCAGATTCAGAATTGACTTTTTGATTTTAAAAACTGATTAAATTTCTTGTTTGAAATTCCAGTTTGAGAACACCAAAAACCAAAGTAGTAATAATGGCCAAAAGAAGAACGCCTGGCACCGTCGTTATTTGTTTTTCGGCGCCAGGTGAAGACCTTTTTATTTAAACGTCATTTTAATTGTTAACAATATTTACTTACTTATCTGGCCAGGGCGACTTCTTTTCTTTTCTTTTCTTTTCTTTTCTTTTCTTTTCTTTTCTTTTCTAACTCCGTTTATATTTTTTATTTATTTTATATAATTAATTTTAATTTTATATTGTAATTTTTGTATTGTATTGTATTGTGTTGTAAGCCGCCCCGAAGCTTCGGCAAGGGGCGGCATAGAAATGTTCCAATAATAATAATAATAATAATAATAATAATAATAATAATAATAATAATAATATCTCTGTACTTTAGTTTTCATTGTTCTATGCCATCAAGTTGTCTTTGACCTATGGCAATCCTATGAATGAAAGCCATCTAAAATGCCCTGCCTGTGACAGCTCCATTAACCTCTTCCAAGTTCAAGGCTGTAGCTTGCTTTATGGATTCAGTCTCTCTCATATTTGGTCTTCCCTTTTGTCTTCTGCCTTTGACTTTCCCTAACTTGATTGTCCTTTTGGAGTGAGTCTTGTTTTCTCATGATGTGTCTGGAGACTGACAGCCCCAGTTTTGTCATTTTTGTTTCTAGGAAAAACTGTGGCTTAGTTGGATCTAGGACCTATTTGTTTGTCATTCCAGGGTATTTGCAATGCACCATATTTCAAATGCACCCATTTTCTTCACTGTCCAGCTTTCACACCCATAGTTTGTGATTGTGAACACAATAGTTCAGATGTAACACGTTCTTACACAGGATTAATTTTTCTAGTTCTTTCATTACTGCCCTTTCAAGTCTCAGTCTGCAAAAGTCTCCCTTTGAATTGATGACTGAGTTAAGATATGTGAAATCTTTAACAATTTTGATTTCCTCATTATGAACAGTAAAGTTTTGTAATTCTTCCATGGACATTTTTTTTTTTTTTTGTTATACTATTCAGCTGCCGTCCTGCTTTTGCATTTTCTTCTTTGACTTTTAGCAGGAGTCATTTCAGGTCATTGCTGGTTCTGCCAGTAGTACAATGTCATTTACATTATCTTAAATTAGTGATGTTTCTTCCACCAATTTTCACTCCTCCTGATTCTCATCCAGCTTACATTCAGTATACATTCTGCATACAGATTGAACAGATTCTGTCTGACACTTTTGCCCATGAAAACCATTATGTTTGTCCTTATTCGTCCTACAGTAGCTTCTTCTCCATGAAACAGGTTCCACAACAGGACAATCAAGTGCTGAGGCACAGCCACTTCTTTCAGGTCTGTCCGTAGCTTTTCTTGTTCCACACAGCCAAAGGCTTTGCTGTAGTCTACAAAGCACAGACTGAACCTTTTTCTGAAATTCTTCGGTGTGCTCCAGTATCCAACATATATATGTGATATGATCTTGAGTGCCCTCCCTTTTTGGAATCCAGCTTGGACATTCAGCATTTCTTTCACCATAAAGGGTCATATTCTTTATTGCAACACTTTGCTTGCTTGGAAGATTAGTGCAATGGTCATATGGTTACTCTACTCTTTTCCATCTCTTCCTGGGGATTGGAATATATATTGAATGTTTCTTGTCTATGGGCCTTTGCTTTGTTTTCCATATTTGTTGACATATATTTGTTAGGATTTGGACAAAGTCATTTTCTGCAGCTTGGAATAGTTCTGTTGGCATCCTATCTACTTCAGGGGCTTTATTCTTAGCAAGTGCTTTCAAAGCAGCTTTCACTTTGCGTAATAAAGTTTGCAGGATCTTCTTCATACTATTTTGCTATCCTTTCATCTCTTCTGTATAGTTCTTTATATTCTTTCCACCTTTTCTTTTTTTCCTCCTGGTTAGATAGTATGTTCCACATTTTGTCTTTTAGAATTCCTATTCTAGTTTTGAATTTCTCTTTGATTTCTTGGATCGTCTTTTGTTTTTCCCCATTTGTTGCTATCTTCTGTTCCTTTGCACTGATTATTGTAATAGTTCTTTTTAATCTCTATGTGATAGATGCTGAAAAGTTGCACTGGGGATTCTGACTCTTATTTCTGTCATGTTTTGCTTTTGCTTCTTGCCTGTCCTTTGTAGCTATGAGTGTTTCCTCAGTCATCCATATAGGCAGTTTCTTTCTTGTTTCTACAGGAAATGTCTTTTGGCATTATTCCCTAACAATGTCTCTGGTTTCAGTTCACAATGGTTCTGCATTACAGTCAATTAAATTGAGCAAAGCAGATCTGTTCTTTACATGGACTTAAAATTCTTCAGGGATGTTACCTAAGTTATATTTTGAGATATTTTGTTGGTAATCTCTTTTAAATTGACTCTGATTTTTGAAATTAAGAAATGATGGTCACTACCACAGTCTTCTGGTCTTGTTTTGGCAGCAGAATATAGTTTTCCACCTTTTGCTTCCAATTACATAATCTCTTTGATTTCTGTATTAGCCATCTGGTGAAGTCCATGTTTACAATCATCTGAGCAGAGGTTTGAAGTATGTGTTTGCAATGAATAAGTTGTTGGCTTCACAAAATTCTACAAGGTTCTCTTGCTCCATTTCTTACCCCCAGGCCAAATTTTCCTACAACATTTTTTTTCCTTTTTGACTTGGTTTCCTATTTTTGCATTCCAGTCTTCTAGGATTAGCAGCATGACTTGGTTTTGGTGTGTTAGCAATTTCCTCTTGAATACCTGCATAAAGGTTTTCAATTTCTTCTTCAATATCTGTTGATAGGTTTTCCACTAATTCTGACTGGTATCATTCCGTAGGATTTTGCATTATAGCTTCTTCCTGCTTGTGCTACATCTTGCCTCAGTATTAGATCCACTCCATTTCTTAGGAGCATGCCATTTCTAGATAAAGCATGTACTCACAAATATAGTATCATTTCTGAAGTAAAGCACTTTATATTTGACTGACTGGAAATGCCCCATTCTAGTCCACTTTAGTTCACTCACACTAAGTAGTGTGATGTGCATTCTTTCCATTCCTTGCTTTCTAATTTCCAGTTTGCCTTGATTCGTACTTCTCACATTCCATGTCCCAATTGTATGTGTTGTGCAGCATCAGACTTTCCTTTCACCTGTGTGCACAATGGCCATTAGATTTCCTTTACAGTTTGATTAAGTAGCATCATTAGTGACAGCACCACTTGCATTTGTCCTTTGCTCTTCCCCAGTAGTTTGCAAGGTGCCTTCTAACCTGGGGTCTCATCTTCTGGTACTATCTCTTGTTTCATTTTGGATTATTTCATCATAGGGTTTTTGAGGTATGAAAATTTAGAAGTGGATTACCGCATCCTCCTATTGCCCAGTACTAACCAGAGTTAGTTTGAACATCACTGCCATTGCCTACAGAAGATCCTCCACTTGTGTCACTTTCAGTTACTGCTGTTACACAGTAATTCCCTTTCAGAAGTTTCTCTACCCCCATCACCATTAATTAGAGCCATTCTCCTTTTGCTGTTGTGGCCGTTATTCCTGAATAGAGTGGATGCAACTTAGTCTGCTAGGAGAT